AAAATGGATCTATGAGCTCAGATCTTCGTCTCCCTTAGGACATAACGTCGAATTAGACATTAACTGTTTTATTGATACCAGATAGGTTCTTTAAGTTTTTTTTATCTTTTATCCCTCCCTTCATAAAGGTTTTTTTTATATCTTTGTTTACATATTTATGCTTATACATATGCCATTATACAATTTTTTAGGTTACTCTTAGTTTTTTAATGTGTTGCCAGTTTTTATTATCTTTTCCAGTGTATTCTATTCTATTTATTATGTCCAGTTATTGGAGTAGAACATTGGGACTTTTTCACCATTTTATGGTAGGTTCCTCTGATTATTTTTGTTTTTTACACCTTTTGGCTATTTTTACTTGATTCTGGTGTATCCTATTCTATATAGTTTTGTATATGTTATTTTATTGCTGTTTAATTATCTATTAGATGAGTTCATAATATAAACCATTATATGATGTTTTTGTCATATATTTTACGCCTTTGGAACGTATATATACTTATCCCCTTAAAACTTAGTGGTTATTTTAGCATTTTATTTTATTTTTTTTTTTTATGGAAGTTGGGGCATTTATTTAGAGACCAGTAGTCTTCAATATTATTTGGACAATTATTTTGAAATATATTTTTATTTTTAACTCTGATCACACCTATTATGTACGTTTGCCCCTTTTTTGTTATTTCCTTTTTCATATTTAATTAGTATTTGGAATCTCCTTAATGTTATTCATTTATTCATTATGTTTTTATCCCTCTGCTCTGGCCCACAATAAAATGGCGCCCGTTTTTATGTATATTTCCCTCTAGTAATTAGTGATAGTACGTTTTTATTAATAATTTTAAGACCTTTATATATATTTAGAATACATTTAGCATAAGTTATTTCCCGATTTGGATATAGAATTATCCTGTGTGTATTTTCGTTTTTGCAGCCCTTGGTCTCTTCATCTTTGCTGCTGACAGTTTCAGAGCTCCCTTAAAATGGCGGCCATGCCGTGCATACGCAGAGCTTTCATCCCTGCGATCGCACGTGTGCGCAGGACTCTGGCAAAATGGCGCCCGCTTCATGCGTGCGCACTTCGTTTTCTGCATTGCGGCGCTCATAATGAGTATTCGCATATAGATCTGAACGTCAGTGGCACGAAATGCGTCAGCGATTAAGCCTTGTCATACTGACATTTCTCATTGAGGCTGCACGTGGGCCCAGTAACTACTTTGACATTATTTTTGATTACATGTTAGAAGGATGATTACTGCTACTTGTTAAATATTGCAGTTACTCTGCTTATATGCTCATCCAGTTGTTTAGTTCTATGATGGACTGTATGCCATTTTTATTTATTTATTCTTTATGTTTACAATAAACGTACTACACTATTTTAAACCTTTGTTTTGGTGGCTTCAACATTTTTTAAGCCATCTTAAGGTTGGAGTAGTGCCCCCTGGTGCAAATCACCATAAATAGCTGACATCGCTCAAGGAAATATCCTCACGATTACCTACACTTGATATTGGTCTATTACGTGGTTTGAAGAGCCGCCGGATGTGTGCGAACCATTAGTGTCCCCCATCTACCTCTGTGATGACCAGATCCTTGATGACTACCAGGATCCAGATTATAACCTAAGATTCATTATATGCGCATAATCTTTGTGCTTCTGGTAAGTGCAAGCACACTTCATTTATTTATCACAAAGAAGTCACCTGCACTTTATCCAGTCTCCACCTTCAATATCTTCATTCTTGAGCGTGTTGGTCTTTGATTTCATCCATTCACCTTTTAATTGGACTGAAAGATTTTGGCACTATATCTTGCACCTAGACTCATTATGGTGTAGTTGATGACCAAGTGTTATTCACATCGAGCTGGTTCGTCTTAATAGACATTGTCATCCATTCACTATTTTACTCATCACTTCATTTTACATGTACTATTACGTTTTATGATTGTTTTCAGTGTCATTTCACCTTTTCATCATAATATTTTATTACTATTTTATTTATTGAGCGCTGCATTCTCGTTTTACTATCTGTTCTGAGGATTAGGAGGTTTTTATCCTTAAATGTTAGCAGCTATTTTCACTTTAGTATTTTGTGCGCTCACTCTAACCCTGTGTTATTGATATTGTAAATAACCACAATTCTCTAAAAATCTGGAGGTTTTTATTCTTTATTTACAGCTTTTGGAGTTTATAGAAGACCCCTTAAAACATATATTTCCTAAAAGAAATAGACCAGTAGAATAAAAAGAATGTGCTATTGATTTTTAGGGACCCATGATATTTGCCCAAATGTTTATCAAAACAATATTTTCACTAAAAATACACTAAAATCATTATCAGCAGATACAAACACAGCAAATTTTACAAAATTCCTACTAAATATAAAATTTTAACCTGCGTTGAGCTAATTTTTGCGAAATTGTGAAAATCGAATGAAAGCAAACTGTAAATAATCAAATTTCTCTAGAAATCTGGAGGTTTTTAATTTTCCACTTAACAGCTTTCATAGTTTGTAAAAGACTCCCAAACCATATATTTTTTGAAAGCACATGATCATTAGATTCAAAATAAAGTGCTACTGATTTTTAAGGACCTGCAATGTTTGGGCAAATATTTATCAAAGCAATATTTTAGCTAAAAATACACTAAAATAACTTTTAGCAGATATCAGCACAAACAATTTTACATAATTCCAGCTAAATATCTTACTAAATATAAAATCGTAACCTGTATTGAGTTATTAAATAACAAATATTTGTACATTTTAGATTGTGCCTTTTTGTGAAATGGTGAAAATCGAACGTACGCAATAATTTCTCTAAAAATCTGTGGAAGTTTTAATTTTTCACTTGCTTTCAGAGTTTATAAAAGACCCTCCAAACAATATATTTTCTGAAAGTACATGACCAGTAGAATAAAAATAAGGTGCTACTGATTTTTTAAGCACCACAATGGTTGCACAAATGTTTATCAAATCGCTATTTTCACTAAAAATCCCCCTCAAAATCCGTATTTGCATACAAAAACACAACATAATTTACAAAATTACTGCTAAATTCCTACTATGGCCTAGTTCAAAGGGGTGTATTTATCTGCACGGGGATGAACAGGTGTGCTGTGCATCCCTGTGCAGGCAGCCCAATCCATGTCAACTGTGACACAGCAGCTGCAAGGACAGATCTGACAACAGGGTGTAGGTGCATTGCCCCAAGAGTGAACAGTGTGAGTTAGGGACATACATCTGCATGTATGTCATGTTGGTAGCAGCGGCGGTGTCTATGCAGCCACTGCATCCAAATTGATATGGATGGGACTGCCTGCACAGGAATGCACAGACCACCTGTGCATTCCCGTGCAGCTACTGCTTCCCAAATTACATCAATGGGACTGCCTGTATGGGGATGCACAGAATACCTGTGCATCTCTGTGCAGGTAAACATTGCCTCGATGCATTATATCCCATGTGAACAAGGCGTTAGGGCTTGTTTAGACTAGAGGTTGGGGGGTAGCAAAAATGTGCAGTTTACCTGCGTTTTTGCTGCCTGCAAAATTCCCCCCTAAAGCTACAACAGGCCATGAGGAGGCATTGCATAGCTTCCTCATCACCTGTCAGTAGCCACTGGATCACGATCCGAATGTGGATTGGGCTTCAGAGGCAAGGGAGATTTAGACGCTTCTAAATCTACCCTTACTATGTTATTTATTTTTATTTTAATTTTTTTTATAACTTCATTTTTTTTGGCCTCATGCACACTGCTGTTCATAAACATAAGTTCAAGAGCTTTTGGCGCTGCCAACGCCCCTGAACTCAACTCAGTAAAAGCCTATGGGGTTTATTTACTAAAGCTGGAGAGTCCAAAATCAGACTCCCTTCTGCATAGAAACCAATCAGCTTCTAACCTCAGCTTGTTCAATGAAGCTTTGGCAATGAAACCTGGAAGCTGATTGGTTTCTATGCAGAAGGGAGTCTGATTTTAGACTCTCCAGCTTTAGTAAATAAACCCCTATGTGTCCATGCACATCACATTTTATCAGAGTTTAACATCTGCAGAGTTTAGGGCCAGTTAAACATCCCACTCCTGAATGCAGAAGAATTGCATTGAGGAAAGGAACATTTTGGTAAAAAAATCTTTAAACGTGGCAAAAACACGCCTAAATGTGCCAAAGCGCTAACCGTGTTTAGCACTTGGGCGTTTATTTTTTTAATGGCAAGCATTCTGGCCAAAGAAATTAATAAACGTTCAAGTGCTAAATGCGGTTAAACAGGGCTAAACGCGATACCATGTGTACAGGCGTTTTTGCCACATTTAGCAGAATAACGTTTCAGTGTAAATGGAGCCTTTTTTTTAACCACTAGCCTACAGGGCACTTATACCCCCTTCCTGCCCAGGCCAATTTCCAGCTTTCAGCGCTGTTGCACTTTGAATGACAATTGCGCAGTCGTGCAACACTGTACCCATATGACATTTTTATCATTTTTTTGTGACAGAGCTTTATTTTGGTGGTATTTAATCACCTCTGGGTTTTTTTTTTTTCTTAAACAAACTAAAAACCACAGAAATTTTTTTTTAAATAAATGTTTTTTCTTAATTTTTGGTATAACATTTTGTAAATAACTGATTTTTTTCCTTCACTGATGTGCGCTATTGAGGCTGCAGTGATGGGCACTGATAGGCTGCACTGATGGACACTGATAGGTGGCACTGATGGGCACTGATGATGAGGCACTGGTAGGTGGCACTGATGGGCATTGACAGGCATCATTGATGGGCACTGAAAGGCAGCACTGATATATGGCACTGATAGGCAGCAGTGACTGGCACTGATAGGCAGCAGTGACTGGCACTGTTAGGTGGCACTGACTGGCACTGATATGCGGCACTGACTGGCACTAATAGGCGGCACTGATGCACACTGATAGGCGGCACTGACTGGCACTGATAGGCGACACTGACTGGCATTGATAGGTGGCACTGATTAGCAGCACTGATAGGTGGCACTGATTGGCATTGATAGGTGGCACTGACTGGCACTGATGGGTGACACTGAAAGGCAGCTCAGATGGGCACTGATATGTGGCATTGATGTGCACTGGTAGGCACTGATATGTGGCATTGATGTGGCACTGGCACATGGCACTGATGAGCACTGACACAAGGCACTGATGGACACTGACAGGTGGCACTGCTGGGGCTACACTGATCATCAGGGCACACTGATCATCAGTGCCCTGTTGATCAGTGTACATCTCCCCTCCGAGGAATGCCGATTACCGTCTCTCAGCTCGAGAGGAAAGAAATGCCGATTACCAGCATTTCCCTGTTTACATGTGATCAGCTGTGATTGGACACAGCTGATCACATGACCAAGCCGACATCTTCGGCTCTTTCCGTGGATCAGTGATCCACTGTGTACGTGGGACACAGCGCACCGCCGATCGCTCCAGGAGCTGCGCATGCGTGGTTAGAATGGGAGGACGTCATATGACGTCCTCCAAGAACGAGAGAACCGACTTGCGTCCGTCATATCACTATATGGCGGGCGGGAGGTTGTTAACATGTACATTTTTATTTTTTTTTTTTTTTTTGGGGGGGGGGCTTTGGAGAGACAACAGGGGTCTAAACAGACATCTAATGTCTCTTTTTTGAAACAGAGAAAGGAACTGAAGGCAATCCCTTTCTCTGCAGCTTGAGCTGCACTGAAGATGAATGAGATAAGAGTTTCAGACTCCTAATTCATTCATGAAATATTTCATTCACAAACTGAAACAGAGTAAATGCAATTTCCTCTGTGCCAGTGATGAAAGAATACAGGAGCGATCTGTAGTGATAGCTGGTTGTATTCTTTCAGGAAAGGAAGAGGGAATTTTTACCAGCTTCCTCCCCTATCAGGACATGATGGGGGTTGGTAAACACATGTTTACCAGCCCCCTTGCTCTCCATGCTGACACTGATCTGACAGAAGGGGAGGAGGGAGAGTAGGCTAGCATATTTAGGGAGGGGTGCCTGGCCACCAGGAAGGTGTGGGGCACTGAAGGGGGGGGTCAGAGTAGGCCTATGTTGGCTGATCGATCCCTCTGTGGCTGCCCTGCAGCATCCAAGGTTGCTGGGAGGGCAGAGGAGGGAATATAACATCTGCAGAGCAGTCACAGAGGGGGTGGGGTCAGTGCTGGGGGGGATCAGAGTAGGGTGAGGTGAAGCACAGGGTAAGGGAGAGTTGGGGGGGTGAGGGGGCATTTTAGGTGACAGCACAGGTAGGTGGAGGAGCGAGAAACATAGCAGGCAAAGAAGCGGCTGGGAGGGTCACATTTCAGGTAAATAGCTCTGATTAGTGGCTTGTCAGCTGCTGATCAGAGCTATCAGTTTGTTCAACATCTGCTGAACAATTCTGCTATAAGCTCATGGTCACTGAAGTGAACATGAGCTTGTAGCAGAGGAGACATGCAGGTCCGTCCAGCCAGGTCCATCCAGCTAGAAGCAGTGCTGTAGATCCGTATAGTCCGTATGAACCTGGCAGGGAAAGGGTTAAATCTCTATACCCCCCCTATAAACTAGAGCAGTTTAAGCTAATGACCTATTTATTTAAGAGTAGCATTGTCTTTACTTAGAGTTAACTTTTGAGGGCAGAAACATGGAAGTGCAATTGATGAGCAAAGGTACAGTTTTTGAGGTTGGCTCCTAGATTTCAGTTTTACTATCTAAAAAGTCATTGACCTGAACAATATACGCAGCCAATGGATTATGAAAAGTGTAAAACACTATATTCACTATATTGCTTGTTTGTTCCAGAACAGGTAGGTTTTGAGGAAAGGATCAAAATAACATTCAAAAAACAAGTTAGAAATGGTGATTCCATAATTATATCCTTACATGTCTAGATATCAAGTAATACATATATTTTTTTCACGGGGACAAACAGAGGTTGATTTTCTAAAGCTGGAGAGGGCAAAATCTGGTGCAGCTCTGCACAGAAACCAAGCAGCTTCCAGTTTTTTTGTCAAAGCTTAATCGAAGAAGCTGAAGTTAGAAGCTGATTGATTTCTATGTAGAGCTGCACCAAATTTTGCACTCTTCAGTTTTAGTAAATCAACCCCACAATGTCTTTTTTGAGGTACCATCTTCCAAAAAATCATGACCAGTAAAAGGTTTAAAACAAAGCATTATACTGTAGCACAAGTCTCATCCTACAACTTTTCCCATTTATAATGACAGTAAAATTATAATTCTACTGCAAAGTATCATACTTACAAAGAAAAAACAATATTTCTCTGTATTTTCAATGTGAATTTAGAAAAAAATATGAAACTAATGAAAATACACTTATAACAATGCACTAAAAATTCTGCAGCTGTAGGTAAACAAAGGATGATCCATTGATCTGTTCACAACAGATACAACAAAACACATAGTAGCGATAATGTTACAAAGTATTTATGAATTAAAAATTACAGTGCCCTCACACTCCTTATTCAAACTGACAGCTGGGTTCTGGCATTTTCATTCCTGAAGTGTCTAATGGAATTCAATTTTGTATATCCAAAGTCCGCAAGAGGTCAATCTATGTTGAGCTCCTGTCTACACTGTCAACAAAATTGACAAGATCACTCTGGTATGAATCTGATTGGATCTGCCTTTAAAGACTTAAATGAAAGTTTAACCCATATACCTGTAATATACACTATATTGCCAACAGTATTGGGACGTCTGCCTTTACACGCACATGAACTTTAATGGCATCCCAGGCTTAGTCTGTAGGGTTCAATATTGAGTTGGCCCACCCTTTGCAGCTATAACAGCTTCAACTCTTCTGGGAAGGCTGTCCACAAGGTTTAGGAGTGTGTCTATGGGAATGTTTGACCATTCTTACTGCCACAATGCAGTCAGGCAAGTACTGTTCAGGCAACTGCCAAACCCAGATACATCTGCCAGATTGCCAGACAGAGAAGCATGATCTGTCACTCCAGAGTACACGCCTCCATTGATCTAGAGTCCAGTGTGGTGTGCTTTACACCACTGCATTCAATGCTTTGCATTACACTTAGTGATGTAAGGCTTGGATTCAGCTGTTCAGCCATAGAAACTCCACAAGGAGTCTAGGGGAATGTTTGACTATTCTTCCAGAAGCGCATTTGTGAGGTCAGGCGAGAAGGCCTGGCTCGCAGTTTCCACTCTAATTCATCCCAAAGGTGCTCTATCAGGTTTAGGTCAGGTCAGTCAAGTTCCTCCACCCCAAACTCGCTCATCCATGTCTTTACGGGCCTTGCTTTGTGCACTGGTGCGCAGTCATGTTGGAACAGGAAGGGACCATCCCCAAACTGTTCCCACAAAGTTGGAAGCACAGAAATTGTCCAATGTCTTGGTACGCTGATGCCTCAAGAGTTCCCTTCACTGGAACTAAGGGGCCAAGCCCAACCCCAACCCCTGAAAAATAACCCCACACCATAATCCCCCCTCCACCAAATGTTATTCTTGGCTCAATACAGTCAGGCAAGTACTGTTCTCCTGGCAACTGCCAAACCTAGACATGTCTGTCAGATTGCCAGACAGAGAAGTGTGATTCGTCACTCCAGAGAACACGCCTCCATTACTCTACAGCTGGCCCAACTGCATGGGTCAACTGCTTGTTTTGCCTAGGTATAAGGAGAAAACTTATATTCACCTGATTCTTCATTCCACCAGAAACAAATGCTCCCCTGGAGTTCAGTGGTGGACTGTTCCTGGTCTTTAGAGTCTGCTCTGGCTTAAGGACATCAGGAACAGTTCACAACTCAAGACTGTTGGAGCACAGGGGTGCAAGACCTGCCTTGTGCTGGGAGAACTGAAGGATCTCCTTTGCCATCTCCCCTAGACAAAAATGAACAGATACCAACAGAGACCCACTGATTGGGAAAACTTTTTTTTGGCCAGAGATGGGTTTTACACTACAAATCAAACAAATGTACAGATGTGTTCAAAATAATAGCAGTATGTTGAAAAAAGTGAATAAAGCTCAAAATCCTTCTAATAGCTTTTATTTACATACACACAAATGCATTGGGAACACTACACATTCTATTCCAAATCACAACATGAAGAAATATATATCAAATTTGTGTTGTTCCTCTAAAAAAATTGCTGAAAAGCGAATATTAGACTGTTCAAAAAAATAGCAGTGTTTGTATTCGTCTTTACAAACTCAAACATTCACTATATAAACTGAAAAATGTTTGAAGATTTTGCTTTCCTTTGAATCACTTAATTAATATTTAGTTGTATAAGCACTGTTTCTGAGAACTGCTGTACATCTGTGTTGCATGGAGTCAACCAACTTCTGGCACCTGTGAACAGGTATTCCAGCCCAGGATGATTGCACTACATTCCACAGTTCTTCTCTATTTCTTGGTTTTGCCTCAGAAACTGCATTTTTGATGTCACCCCACAAGTTTACTATTGGATTAAGATCCGGGGATTGGGCTGGCCACTCCATAACGTCAATCTTGTTGGTCTGGAACCAAGATGTTGCACGTTTACTGGTGTGTTTGGGGTCGTTTTCTTGTTGGAACACTCATTTCAAGGGCATTTCCTCTTCAGCATAAGGCAGCATGACCTATTCAAGTATTCTGATGTATTCAAACTGATCCATGATCCCTGGTGGTAAATAGGCCCAACACTGTAGTATGAGAAACATCCCCATATCATGATGCTTGCGCAACCATGCTTCACTGTCTTCACAGTGTACTGTGGCTTGAATTCAGTGTTTGGGGGTCGTCTGACAAACTGTCTCCGGCCACTAGACCCAAAAAGAACAATCTTACTTTCATCAGTCCACAAAATGTTCTCTTTAGGCCAGTCAATGTGCTCTTTGGCAAATTGTAACCTCTTCAGCACGTCTTTTTTGAACGGTACTTTGCGGGGGCTTCTTGCTTCACATAGGCGTCTTCTAATTGTAACCGTACTCACAGGTAACTTTAGACCTTCTTTGATCTTCCTGGAGCTGATTGTTGGCTGAGTCCTTGACATTTTGGCTATTCTTCTATCCATTCGAATGGTAGTTTTTCTCTTTCTTCCACATTTTTCAGGTTTTGGTTGCCATTTTAAAGCATTTGCGATCAATTTAGCTGAGCAGCCTATCATTTTCTGCACTTCTTTATATGTTTTCCCCTATCCAATCAACTTTTTATTCAAGGTACGCTGTTCTTCTGAACAATGTCTGGAACGACCCATTTTCCTCAGAATTTCAGAGAGAAATGCACTGTAACCAGCATGTACAACATTTGCTGCCTTCCTTCCTTAAATAAGGGCAATAATTGCCACCTGTTTTCAAAGAATGAATGACCTCACTAATAGAACTCCACACTGCTAATATTTTGAACATGTCCCTTTCTATTAGTGATTCAATTACACAGAATCAGCAGCATGCATGTCATGACTGTTGGGTCTGTTGGATTTTTATTACTC